AGGGTTCCCTGCCCTGTGGGAAGTCCAAGGACCACCCACCTCCATCCAGGTCTAGTAAGGTGAGCATCCAAACTGCCTAGGCTCCCACAAAACCAATAGGTGCAGTAGGATCAAAAACCCATTGCCATTGATCTTGAGGTCTCAGTAGTCCTCATTGTCCGCTATGTTCAGCAAGTCCGGTTTTATCCCAGGCTTTTTCAGACCCAGGCCAGCTGGCCTTGGTGAGTTCCCGATAGAACATCTCCATTGTCTCAGTGTGTGGGTGTACCCCTCGCGGTCCTGAGTTCCTTGCTCATGCTCTCTCTCCTTCTGCTCCTGATTTGGACCTTGACTCGGGCCTTTGTTAACTCACATTGTTCTCCACTTGGAAACAAACCCCTCTGTTCAGCTAACCACCTCCACCCCAAGCATAGGAACAAAGCCACAGTCCACAGCTCTCAGTACGGTTTCTGGACAACCTCTCATTTCCCCAGGCACACTATGCTCTGTTCCCAGCTCTGCACTCACACAAGCAGACCTGCTTTACCTTGGTAGCGTAGGTAGGTTTGTCGACAGCTTCATCCCCTATGAAAAAGTCAAGGTCATCAACTCCTCTCAACACCCTCCTTTGGGCTTGATCAACTACCTTTGCAGATTCTCTGATGGCGATACCTGAAGGGGGGAAAGAAAAAAGTTTTATCTTTCGCAAAGACGCCATCACTATCCACGTGTTATCTGAATTATCAAGAACAGATAACATAGTCTGTGTGGTTGCTAAGGCTTTGTCTGTGGCGGCAATGAACGCATGAAATAGAGAAGCAAACAACTCTTCCAATATCAGCTCAGCGTAATGCTGGGGAATTGCTGTTAATGTCGGCATAGAAGTGATGTTATTAATCGGGCTCATCTGGAGAAACTGCTTAAGAAAGCAGGTGATGTTAGGAGCCTTACACCTGCCACGTATTGACTGTAAAATACAGCTTGGAGGGAACAGAATTCTATACAACAAAAAAGAGGAAGGGAAACTGAAAAATACTGCTTTTAAGTTCTTAAGTCATTTTGATAAAATGACATCAAATAGTTTTGTAAATATATTGTCTAATTATAGAGGGGGAGCAGTGGCTTTCAATTAAAATGAAAAACTAAAAGTCTGTGGGCTGGCATCTGTTGCAAAAAGAGAAAAACAATATTAAAACAACCATAGCACAGAAGATCCTAACAGTACATAGCTGCAACTATACTTAGTAATAAATAACCGTATAAACCTCGCTCCAGAATTTAACATCTAATAAAACTGCGAAATGCTTCACAAAGATTCAATTTGCATTGACACTCCTAACCCGTGTTCACAGTTGGAGCTCCCTTCAACTCCTCCTTCTCCCCATCAGGTCTCTGTGGAAGCCATCCCCTCCCTGTGAACTCTCGCTGCCCATCTGGCAACTGGAGGCCTGTTCTCAACAGCCAACGGCCCGCCATACTTCCACTAACGCATTCTCACAATGGATGCCGACCAGTCCACCAACCAGTGTGTGGAAATCACGAATCAGAAAATGTGAGTCTTCTGTTGCTTCTCTGGGGACGGGCACATGCAGATCCCCGAGCACTCTGCTGTGTCACTGAGTCCGACTACCACCAGTGAGCAGCAGAGAAATGTGGGCCTTGTTAACATTCTACTCTACTGAAACACCAATTGTGAATTTGGAAAATGTTCAAACTATGTCAAATTATTCGAACATGAGCCTAATTCTGTAACTCTGCCAACGGAGCCTCCAGAGGGGTTTAATTGATGTTTGGTGAAGCCACAGTCACCAGCATAAATAAACGGCAGTGCCAACTGAATGAAGTTCCTCAGAATTCCCCCTTGAAAATCCTGCGTACCTCACGGGGGGCGGGGCGATCATTCTGATATGACCTAACCGTTCCAGCGGTGTGGTGGCTTCACAAAATGAAGTCCCCTTTCAACATAAAGGCCAGCACTTCCCAGCTAGCTGCCCTCAGGAAGTGTTCTTCCATGAAAGGAAGGGACATGTCCCACCACCTCTAATGCAGGGCTGCAGCACTGCATGTGCACAGACACTCAGTGGGGACACAGCAACACCCGGTGACACTGAAAATGTGCTTGAACTCTCAAGGAGTGTCAGTGAGTAAAGGTTCAAACTGAAGCATGTTCTGTAGAACTAATCACAACAGCAACAAAGAGCAGGAAAGGGTCCTAAGTCATCTGAAGCCAGAGCTGGCCAAACTACCAAAGAGAGCTAGCTACTCAATGGCCTTTCAGCAACTCACAGGCCACCCATGGGTGGGCCTGAGATTGTCAGCCAAAGTAGGACACAGCTGACCCTGGGCAGCAGGGCCACAGTGGCTATTGTTTCTAAATACTAAACATATTGGCTTTCCAATTATTGGAGTGGGAAGAAAGATAACAGAACAAAATTCAAATTTTTGCCCAGGGTCATCTGTGTCCTGCTTTGGCACTGACAGTCCTTGAGAGTGACTTAAACACTGAATTATTGGATAGACCCAGTGTCACAGTGTTTCTGATTTCTCCCCAGAGCGATTCCTTATTGCTGCCCTGTAAGAGGCCATACTCCCCCTCCTCCCCTCCCCCACACACAGACACACATACAAAAAAAAAAAAAACCACAGTAACACTTTAATAGGAAATAAAGGAGGACAACAAAAATTTAAATGACAATAAAGTAAATCTTTTCCCTCCCAGAAAACTAACTCTAAGTAGTATGAGCCCAGGTCATAACAGAACTAAGGCGCTTTGGGGGGAGGGGAGCAGGGGCTAGAGACGTAGAAGGGAGGGAAGAAGTAGGAGGGGGATGGTACGTCTTTACCAATTAGATGGCAGGGAATGAAATCCAAGTAAAGCGATAAAGAAGCACAGAAATTAGGCTAGCGGAGAAGCTCAGTGGTAGAGTTTACCTAAACAATGGCTGAGGTCATCCAGCTACCCCAACGCAAGCAAGCTACAGAGCCTGGACATCTTCCCCACCCTGCAATAACACAGACACCCTTTCCAATTACATACCCAAAAAGGTGAAGAGGAAAACTTGCTCTTTTACCCCAAAATGGCAGAAACAGGGGTCATTCCCCCCTAAAATAAGATCAAGAATCTCACAGCATAATAAACCAAATTCCAATTTTCACCCTAGCAAGAACCAGAAATATCAACTTAAATAAGACAACTCCTAGTTAAGATGGAGATAGCACAGATATGAAATTATCAAACAAAGGCGCTAGAACAAGAATCACAACATTCTTCAGATACAGCTTCAAACATACAATGGTGCACACACACTGTATTCAAGTCAGTTCCCTGGAATAGAATAGTATTTGGTCCAGGCCGGTACCAAGCTCTCTATCCTTCTGCCTCAGCCTCCTGAATGCTAGGATTCCAGGCCTGGGTCATCCTGCCCAGTTCCCAGATCATTTCTTTTTTCTAGTTTATTGTTGTTTTTCTTTTCAGCTTTTGTTTAAGACATTTAAGACAGCCAGTCTCATGTCTGGGCTTTGAACTCACTACATAACTAAAAATAGCCTTAAACTCAACAACTTCCCATTTATAGAGAACACTTTTCACCCTTCTGAGCCAGTCCATTTGTCTAATGATGATAATACATGGTCTAAACTGCAACATATCTGTAAATGTGTATGTACTAGAAATACACATCATACTTACATTTTTCTGAGCCAAACTGCATCATTATTCTTCTCTCTCTCTCTCTCTCTCCTTCCTCTCTCTCTCCTTCCCCCCTCTCTCCCCTTCCCTTGTCTCTCTTGCCTTACGTGGTATCAGGCATAGCTCTAAGAACATTGTTAAAACTTGAAATAGTCACAAACACCTAGATAGAACCATTAATGAAACACTATAGCCATACTCTCTTTAAACTCAGTAGGACAAAAGCACCTACTAATCCCAGTTATGTCACCATTTTTATAAAGGTTCTAGTCAACACTACAGCCCCCAAAGATGGCTTACATGGTGCTTACCACCACGCCTGGTGACCTGAGTTTGATCCCTGGGATCCACATGGTAGAAGAGAATTGATGTTTGAAAGTTGTCCTGTAGCTCCACATGCATACTGTGGCCTGTGCAACCCAGATAGATAGATAGATAGATAGATAGATAGATAGATAGATAGATAGATAGATAGATAGATAATAGATAGGCAGGCCAGAGTAAGGAAACACAGTAAGACTAGAATTAGAAGCTGAGCATCACCATTACTTGCAGGCAATACAATGGTCTGCAGACGGGGCTCAATCTGTAAGGTGCTTGCTATGCAAGCAAGAGAACCTGAGTTTGGATCCCCAGCATCTAAGTAAAGGCCAAGCACAGAGACTTATGTATCCAGAACCCCTGTGCTGGTGAGCCGGCCAGGCTAGCAGAGTTCATGAGTTCTGAGATAAGAGAGAGCTCCTGTCTCAAAAATTATATGGAGAGCAATGAACATGGACACAGCCTGCACACAGAGACATGCACGTGTGCACACACCCACATGAACATCTTCACATACCACAAACACAGAGAGAGGTGGGGATAGGAAGAGAAGGGGAAGAAGTTCTATCTGCTGACTATCACGCAAACATCGCTGGCGGTAAAAAAAATTGCAAATCTCAAAAAATTATTGTTTATGATCTATTTTATCCTAATTATGCACATATGTGTCTGCATTTGCATGTGGGAACGAGCATGTGTACTGCAGACGATGACATCCTCTAGAAGAGGGCACAGGATTCCCGAGAGCTGCAGCTACAGCAGTTGTGAGCCGCCTAGCAGGAATGCTGGGGACTGAAGCCAGAGCCCCTGAAGAGCAGCACGCACTCTCAGCGGCTCCAAAACCAGAGTGTCCTTATGTGCTAGCATAGCAATAACTAATCAGAAAACTTAATTTTAAAAATAAATTCACAAATAATAAAACATAAAAGTCCCTTAAAATGAAACTAGCAAAAAACATGTAAAAGGATTTAAATAACAGCATAAAACATTATTAAAAACCCCACACGATATGAATGAACAATGAAACACCTATACTACATTCATAAACAAGAACTGGATATTCAATTCTTATCCATGAATACCAAATTAAAGGCAAAATTTTTAATTAGCCTATAAGAGTATCTCTAATCAAAACCTCATCATGGTTTGTTATAATCAACTTAAACTGACTCTAAAATTTATAGTCTAAAGGAAGAGCCAAATCATTCAAAAAATGAAAAATGAAACCCACTAAAGAAAACTGTATGACACGGCACTGTAACTCAAAGTGCATACTTGGAGCAGAGACAGTTGAACGCAACAATGCAGCAAAATAAAGACCAAAATGTTTCCAAGCATGGGGCAGGCACGGTGACACACGTCTGTAATCCTAGCACTCTGGAGGCTATGCAGGAGAATTAAAAGTTCTGAGCTATATGGTGAAATTCTGTCAAGAAAAATATTCCCAAGCATAAATGCTAACTTCAATCTGACAAAAAAAGAAAGAAATATCAAATTGGAATGTACTTTTCAATCACTGCTGTTGGGGCAACTGGCTTGTACTTGAAAATAAGATCAGCTAGCTCTCGCTCATACATATTCAAAACTTTAAAAAAATGCAAAATTCCTTTTGAGTTTTTTGGAAAGGGAATGCACCTTTTAAAATAGAAACATTACAAGCTGAAAAACATTGAAATTTTAGACTCTATCAAAATTTAAAATTTCTAGATGACAAATAAATCAATTTAAAAATGTCACAGTGTACTGGGAGGGTAGCTCAGTGTTTGGTACACACAAGGTCTGATCCCAATGCCACAAAAATATACACAGAAATAAACACAGAAGAAGATATCTATAACAGGTCAGTACGTGATACTACTGTCCCTCTGACACCAGAAGTTCTCAAAAAAAATGCAGTTTTAAAACTGAACAAAAACTGAATGATGCTCAGCTTTACCGCTAATCGACATGATTTTACAATCCCTGGTCTTGAGGTTAACAGTAAGGAAGCAGAAATTCGCTCATGTTGCCAGTGGGCTGAGGTCAGCACAGACCCCAGGAGATGGCACCTGCAGAGCTGCAGTGAAACCAGAGCATCTCAGATCCCTTGGGGAAACCGTGTGTGCAGAGGGAAGCGTTCACTACCCTGCTCTGTACAATAATAAAACTGGAAAATGCTCATGCTCTAAAGATTCTAGCTGGACACGTGGCCCTTGTCTGTTACCCCAGCATGGGGAAGGGAAGCGAGAGGGCTGGTCTACAAAAGGAGACTCAGCGGTAAGTTCGCTTTAGACCTGCATGCATTAGCAGCAATCGATACTAAAAACAACACTCAAGAGGCTTTTTAAAATATGCTAAAACTTTGCAGGAAATTGTTTTAAAAATTCACAGAGCAGTGCGCCCTTGTATATATGATGCAAAGCTGAAACACAAAACTAGAAACCCAGACAGAAAATATTCAGCAGAGGAAGGGAGCAAGGACAGAGAGAAAGGGCGAGGAAGGAAGAGAGGGGCTGAGAGCCAGCCTGAAAGGTGTCAATCACAGACATCTGTCATCTGAGAGACTCAGTCTGGGTGATCTCATAGCAGGTGTATTCACACTAACTAAAACATCTCCCAAGGCCTCTGGCCAGCACTTCCTTAGGTAGCACACGACTGTACGTTTACTCTGACGTGAAGACGGAACATTAATGTGCTTATCGTGGGGAGTGGGTTCAAGGGTCTTTACTATATTCTATTTTTGCATTTTATTACCCGAACCAAATTTTTACAGCTATATTTAATTAAAGGAAAAAAAACAGGCCAGAAGTGGTATACACACTTAATCTCAGCACTCAGGGAGGCAGACACAAGCAGAACTGTGTGAGGCCATCCTGGTCTACATGGAGAGTTGTAGGCTAGACCTGTCTCAAGAAAGAACAAAGAAAACCACCACCTGAGGACCCCTCTGCAGAGCTTCCAGCCTCCCACCTAGGCAGTCACCTTCTGGCAACTTTCCCAGCATGCAATGACCACAGGGAACTTCCTTGCTCCCACCATTCCCTATTCACTGTCTTCTTCTTGCTGTAGTCACCATGTTCCTCTTAGACTGAACCTTTCAGTGGCTCCCAACAGTCCCTAGCAACCTCAAAACAAAAATACAGCAGAAAGAATAAACTTCCTCCAAACAATGAGGCCAAGTCTACACAGAAGCTTCAACAAACTGGACCCAAGCAGAGCCTGGACAGATGGACTGCCAGCCTAGTCCTGGTGCCCAGGCCCTGAGGGAAGCCCTTGGGACCATGTGAACATGCAAACGCCATCCCCTAGAAAGACAATCCAGTCTTGACCACATGGTTCTTCTCCAAACTTCAATCCCATCTCCTGGCAGACTGCATGGGGCTTCCATTAGCTTCCACTTCTCCGCACCCAAACCTGACCTTGCTCCAGCCCCCAGCACACACTCTTCCTCCCTCTCTCTGCCCCTCTTCCCATCCATCTTCCCATTTCCCTCCTTCACTCTCTCCTGCACTATGGGGCACAAGTCTGTAACATACCAGGCAAGCCTAGGGCATAACTCCAGATCCAGCTCTCCTGAGGCCACTTCAGCATGCACACCCTGGGACTTGTCCTGTAAATGAGACCTCTGCAAACAGAAAACCAGGTCCACTATCAGCCGGAGACAAGCTGTGGGTCAGCCCTCCAGGGAAACTGAAGCCCTGCGCCCATCTAAACACCCTCACGTCTGCCCTAACTTCTTCAAGGGTGCTTCTGCAATTCTCCCCTAACAATTTCAGCCAACAGTATCGCCATTCTTGGGACTGGAGAGAAGGCTCAGCACATCCTACTGTTGCAGAGGACTTGAATGTGTCTCCCAGCACCCATCTCAGGTGGCTCAGGTTGCCTGTAACTCCAGCTCCAAGGGACTTGATGTCCTCTTCTGGACTCTATAGGCATCTGCACTCACTAACACACAAACCCACATGCACACCCAAGCCCCCCCCCACATATCCATACACACATAAATTATAAAATAAAATGATGAGGATAGAGAGATGACTCAGCAGCTAAGAGCATATCCGCTCTTCCAGAGAACCTGGGTTCAATTCCCAGCACCCACATTGTGGCTCAAAACCATCTGTAATTCCAGTTCCAGGGGATCCAATGTCCTCTTCTGGCCTCTGAAGGCACTGCACACACACACACTGTGCACAGATATACATGCAGGCAAAACACCCATACACATAAAAAAAAATATGTAAAATTTTCAACAGCTAAGACAAATCTTTTTTTAATACTGCCATCCTTTTACTCCTTGTCCTTTGACATTTTACTGTCTTCTAGCTTTTGCCACTGCTAAGGTTCTGACAGCCCCAGTCTGAGCGCTCCCCTGTCTCTTGACAGCGACTCCTGCTAATAACAATCTTTGATCCCCTTGGTGAATGATGACAGGTTAAGTGGTGCCGTCCACTGAGTGCTGCTGAGTTTTAGATGGCAGCAAAGCAAAGGGGACATGGTCAGTTCTTTTTAGCTGACGCACTTCACAAGGCCAAAAATCTAATCTCTGCTTTCAAAACCCAGGAAGTCCGACTTGTCAACTCAGCATGGGAAGGATCGTTCGTCCTCAGGAAATCCAGGGACTGATGGCCACTCAGGTGTCAGGTGTCATGGACCCAACTGTGCCTTCACAGAATGAAGCCCCAGCTTGCAGCAAGACTGAATCTGGAGACGACAGGACTTTTATGAGCATCGGTGGATGTTAAAAGGTCACGAGGGCAGGATCCTAATGCAATCAGAGTGGTGGCCGCACAAAAAGGAAGCCTGACATCCTCACACAGAGAAAAGGCAACATCAAGGCACAGTGGGAAAGAAAACATCTGTAAGCCCAGATGTTTCATCAGACACCAACCATGCCAGCACCTTGACCTTGGCCTCTGGGCTTCCAGAGCTGTGTTACAGTTCTGTTGAGTAAGTTCCCTTTCCTGCTATTTGTCGGGCAGTCTTTCCAGACAGACATTCCACTTTATGACTTTAAAATGAGGACACAGTCAGCCGATAATACCCATCACCAGGAAGTGTGAGGCATCTACACTCCCCAAGAAGGCCAGAGCTGTGTTCGTTATCCAGCAAGCACAGAACTGGAGTTTGTGGCTTAAATCCCCTCAAGGAATCTGGGGTGCATCGTCTAGTGATCTGGTGTTCACACCAACCACAAAAAGGCTTTGGCCTTGACCTGAACACATTCTAACCAAGCTCTCCTCCGATGTCTAAGCTGGGCTCTAGGGCCTCAGGAGGGGTGTATGGGAAGCCCAGTTTCCCCTTGATGCTGGGCTCATTCACCTTTACTGTGGGCAAACTGTCTTTGGGATTCAAACCAGAGAATTCTGCCTCTGAAGCCGAAGCAGCCCTGGGAGAGACTTCCACGGGTAACAAAGAAGTCAGGATGAGCCCAGTGTATGACACCTAAGTGTATCACCCTTTGCTGACGAAAAGTTAAACAAAACAAAACACTTTTGAACAGAAAGAACAATCAGTAGACCTCTCATTTTCGCTAAAAAAAAAAAAAAAAAAAAAAGACTTTCAACTGTGTTCCGTGCCATGCAGCACTCGGCTAAGCAGTCAAACTATGTATCCTTACAATGACAGACCAGCCTTGAAGAACCAGTGACTGCTCCAGCAGGAGGGACACTCACGACACACTGAAGGCCTCTGGAAGCTTCCCAAGATAAAACTAGAAGCCAGTGACAGAGAAAGGCATCAAGCACAAAGCGCTGCTTAAGTAGGGTCAGGTCACGGCCATCTCCTGCAGCAGCATCTAAAATAGGCAGCCCTTCCCAGGAACTGGAGTGATGGTCTAAAAGAAGACACTAAAAACATTCAAACATCCTGATGCACATAACTGGAATGCTTTATAATGCTGAGAAACACAAGCCTTTAGAACCCAAGGAAGAGCTTTACTTACATGACGGAATAATGAACTGTGGCTCAGTGTTGCCTGCGTAGCCAAGCTTGGTATACCTAAAAGCACAAAGTCATCGACACAGGTTTAGACGGCAGTGCTCCCAACCACATCCCACTCATGTCTTTCATTATAAGCACACCAAGCCTAGAATACTCCCTTGAAATAAAACAATAGAGAAAAACAAGCAAACTGTGCTCACTGAAGATCACTTCAAAGTAGTTATGAATCTGACAGTATCAGCTTGTTTGCGTCAGAACAGAAACGTGACTAACCCTCGTGCCTATCTCTCTGTCCCTCCTGACTCTCACATGCTCTTCTCACGTCACAAAAACACAAAGAAAATACAATTACCCCGGTTCTGCAGACAGGAAAACCTGGGGGCTGAGAAGCTAAGTTGCCCAGACTAAAGAGCTGGTAAGTCGCAGAAAAGCAACCCAAGTCTAACTATGCAGTTAACTCCAGCGCAGGCTCTGTCGAACGTCCTTACTTCCTAACTTCCTGAACTTTTGGAGCATTAGAGACTGGTTATATAATTTTCTTGAAATGCCGTGGCACATGTCTAGACGCAGCTCCTGACATCTCCTGGGGATCATCCAACAGGAACATCTCTCTACCATCTCCTAGGGATCATCCAACAGGAGCATCTTTCTACCATCTCCCTTCAAAAGAAGCCCACTTTCTGTCAAGATACTCTGGTAGATTCCAAAAGTCTCTACGAAAACAAATGCCAAAATACTACTTTCAGTTCCAAAAGCATTCGATAATCTCCTAAATAGAAAGTAAGGGAGGGTGAAGCATCACTCCAACCATCTGCTGGAAGGATAAACGAGAAGCAGTCCCGGGAGCTACGGACCAGCGCCTCTCTCTCTGCAGGACTGTTCACAGGACTCAGGGCAAGCAGCCTTTGCTTCCAGGGCTAAAACAGTTCCGGGGACTAGAAAAGAACAAGGGATTTGTTCTCATTTACAAATTACATCAAGATGTTTGATATTAAATGCTTCCATTTGATAGGTCTAATCTTATAATTTTATGACTTTTTAAAAATACACTCCCCTATAAGCTGACTTTGGCATTCTGAAATAGGCAAGCTGGCTGTGCGTGTATCACACCTACTGTCCACTGCCTCAGGATGTGAGTTCTTCACAGCACCCAGAGGGCCAGGCCAGGCTGATACAAGGCCTGTCTGAAGCCCCAGTAGTCTACACACGTCAGAGCTGGAACAGACACTAATAACCAAGTGGGTCTGCTGTCTCCCACACCAGGGATCACAGGCCCACGGGAGAGGAAGGTCTAGGCCAACCCAGGGCCTGGGGGCTTTGGAGAATGAAGCCGACACAGGTTGATTTGAGAATCCAAGACCAGTGCAGTATGGTGTCAGAGCCTATAATCCCAGCACTAGGGAGGCTGAGGCAGGAAAACAGCCAGATAAAGGCCAACTCCATAGTGACAGACTCAGAGACAAAGACAATCAGTCCATCCCTGACAGGACCAGCATTCTGGAGACATGCTCCAACAAACTGAGTTACTGGCCCAAGGCTAAGAAGCTTACAGAACCGATAAGCAGGCCAGAAATCACTAAACCTTGAAGCCTGATTATATCATTTTTAACGAGCCGTGTCATTCATTTGCCACCTACTCCCCAAAACTATGCCCTTGCACTTAAGTCACCTGAGTAAATCCATTCTTTCCCACTGTTAGTTTATAAGTTCCTGGCCCTAACCCTGCTTCCTGGGACAGTACCTGGGCAAGCAGCAGAATTTCCTAAGTACCTATTGGTTGCATTCTTGCCAGATGCTGAGCTATGGGAGCAGGACTGGTATTTAGCAGGGAGATGCTGAAGGTCATGGGAAGAGAAAGTGATGAAACCAAAAAGAAAAAGAAAAAGAATCAGACGCTACTATGAACTACTGTTCAGAAAAGATCTACTCCATGTAACGTGTTTTAAATATGGCAAAATGTAAGCATTTATTACTATTAGATGCTAAGTATTATTCACGTTTGCTATTTTTTATATTATATAGCTTTTTTCTTTTTTATTTTTATTTATTTATTTATTAAAGATTTCTGTCTCTTCCCCACCGCAGCCTTCCCTTTCCCTCCCCCTCCCCCAATCAAGTCCTCCTCCCTCGTCAGCCCAAAGAGCAATCAGGGTTCCCTGCCCTGTGGGAAGTCCAAGGACCACCCACCTCCATCCAAACTGCCTAGGCTCCCACAAAACCAATAGGTGCAGTAGGATCAAAAATCCATTGCCATTGTTCTTGAGGTCTCAGTAGTCCTCATTGTCCACTATGTTCAGCGAGACCAGTTTTAACCCAGGCTTTTTCAGACCTAGGCCAGCTGGCCTTGGTGAGTTCCCGATAGAACATCTCCATTGTCTCAGTGTGTGGGTGCACCCCTCGCGGTCCTGAGTTCCTTGCTCGTGCTCTCTCTCCTTCTGCTCCTGATTTGGACCTTGAGATTTCAGTCCGGTGCTCCAATGTGGGTCTCTGTTTCTGTCTCCTTTCATCGCCTGATGAAGGTTAATATTCAGGAGGATGCCTATATGTTTTTCTTTGGGTTCACCTTCTTATTTAGCTTCTCTAAGAACCCGAATTATAGGCTCAATGTCCTTTATTTATGGCTAGAAACCAAATATGAGTGAGTACATCCCATGTTCCTCTTTTTGGGTCTGGCTTACCTCACTCAGGATAGTGTTTTCTATTTCCATCCATTTGCCTGCAAACTTCAAGAAGTCCTTGTTTTTTACTGCTGAGTAGTACTCTAATATGTATATATTCCATACTTTCTTCATCCATTCTTCAATTGAAGGGCATCTAGGTTGTTTCCAGGTTCTGGCTATTACAAACAATGCTGCTATGAACATAGTAGAGCATATATTTTTGTTGTATGATAAGGCCTCTCTTGGGTATATTCCCAAGAGTGAGTGGTATTGCTGGGTCCAGGGGTAGGTTGATCCCGAATTTTCTGAGAAACCGCCACACTGCTTTCCAGAGTGGTTGCGCAAGAACAAAAAGATTTTTAAAAGACCATGTTCTTTTGTAGGTGTATCCAAGAGGTCCACAATAGCCCGGAATGGAATATAACAAAGGTTTATTTACTGGGGGATAAACTCACAGCAAGGGTAGGTATCCACAGTCCTCTATGTGCACTGGGAACTGGAAACCAAATCCAGCAGAAAAAAGAGGTTGTGCACGCTTTTCATCTGCACTTATAGTACCCCAGACCACGCCCGAAACGGGCCAGTCTGAAAAGCTAGTGGCTGAAGGAATTCCCACAACACCCTTTGGCACTGGGTGGCCTGGATTCTAATCCTACCTCCGCTATTTGTCAAATCTGAGAAAACTGCTTCACCTCTCTGTATGTTGATGTCCTTGCCCGCTTCAGGACAGTCGGAGCAACAATACAGTGGAGATACAAGCACTAAGATGATACAATGTTTCCTGTATTATTTTACTAGCATTTTTCTAGATGTTTGAGATGTATCTTTACTTAAAATTGTGACAGGTAGCTGTGGTAGCACACACTTATAAACCTGGCACTGGGGAGTACAAGGTCATCCTCAGCTTCTGCAGCACAGCAAGTCTGGGACCAGCTAGATGAGACTCTTCAGAAAAAAAAAGTTTTATTTTTTTTAAAAAGTACTATTTTTATGTTTTTCTTTAAATCTACTTTGTCTACAGGAGACACTTCAGCAAAAATATTCCTTTAATGTTTTATTTTTTTAAAAATGTACTTTGTCATAAGCCACAATGGTCACTCTTTGTACCAGAGTCAGTCTGACTTGAGGACTGGTGAGGACGAAATGACCCTTTGTGGTGACTCCAGTAGATACCAGATGTCCCTCAATATCTCCATCCCATCTCACTGCCACAGCGCTCTCCCCTGAGCCCTAACCAATGCCCACTGCAACGAGATGTCAGGCCAGAGAAACGGGTAGGAACTCTCTGACTTCCAAACTTCAACCAAACTGTCAGTGCCATTCAGCACATCTGGAGCAACATCCTGACCCCACCCATCCACAGGACCTGGTGCCCACAGGGCTCTGAAGGCACCTTAAGCACCTGGAGCATCATGCAATGATCTTCATGCCGGAGGCAAACTGCCATAAAGACACATTACATTTTTACATGCTGGGCTGAGAGACTCTTTCCTACCTTCCATGTACTAGAGCCATGTTGGGGGCGGGGAGGCAAAGACACAGACACAATCACAACATGGTAATTAAATGTTTTTCAGATTCCCTGTACTGTTCGCTATAAAGTACCAAATACCTTTGACTTTTGTGACTTCAAATAATCACGATGCAAGGCATATCTAACACAGGTTTTCAAATTTGAAATTTTAATAAATTCTCTACCAATATAGGCTCCTACCAAACTTCCCTGAGAATCTATAACTCATAACTATAAAAATAACCCATAAAGTGCCTACCTCAAAATACTCTCCAGAACCTGTCCCCTCCAAACAACCAGTAAGAAAAACCCCATCCGGAAATAGAAAACACTATCCTGAGTGAGGTAACCCAGACCCAAAAAAATGAACATGGGATGTACTCACTCATAATTGGTTTCTAGAGATAAATAAAGGTCAGTGAGTCTATAATTTGATATCATAAAGAAGCTAAATAAAAAGGCTATCCTCCTGGTTATGGGAAGTAGACAAGATTGCCGGGCAAAAATTGGGATCTTGGGGATGGGGTGGGAGGGGGGAAAAGGGAGATAGGGAGAGAAAAGTGAGAAGGGGAGGTTGGGGGGAACTTGGGGAAATGGGATGATTGGGATAACGGAAGGTTGGATAGAGGAGCAGGGAAGCACATATCTTAATTAAGGGAGCCATCTTAGGGTTGGCAAGAG